CCAGAAATTGGTAGCCCTATATCAAACCAAATCAACAACAGCATTAAATGCAAATGACTGAAGAACAATTACAAGACATTGTCAGATTGGATTTTTTTTAAAGAACAGTTATAGGCTGTTTAGAAGAAACCAATTTCAATGTAAAAGTACAGATAGGTTAAAAGTAAAAGGATGAATAAAGATACAGAAAGCAGGCTGGTCATAGTGGCTCATGCCTATAATCCCAGCATTATGGGAGGCTGGGGCAGGAGGATGGCTTGAGGCCAGGCATTCGAGACCAGCCTAAGCAAGATCGACCCTGGTCTCTACAAAAACTAGAAAAATTAGCCAGGCATTGGGGCATGTGCCTGTAGTCCCAGCTACTTGGGAGGCTGAGGTGGGAGGATCTATTGAGCCTAGGAGTTTGAGGCTGCAGTGAGCTATGATGACACCCCACTGCACTACAGCCTGGGCAACAGAGCAAGATCCTGATTCAGAAAACAAACAAACAAACAAAAAAAGATACAGAAAGCAAACAATAATGATTTTTTTTTATTTTTTTATTTTGATTTTTTTTTATTTCAGTATATTATGGGGGTACAGATTTTAAGGTTTCAATAAATGCCCATTTCCCCCCTCCCCCCACAAGTCTGAGTCTCCAGCATGACCATCCCCCAGATGGTGCACATCTCACTCATTATATATGTATATACTCGCCCCGCCCTCCTTCCCTCCCCCCCCTGCCCAATAGCCCTATTACTTGTAGTACCTATGTGACGCACTTAGGTGCGTTCAGTTAACTACCAATTTGCTGGTGAGTATATGTGGCTGCTTGTTTTCATTCTTTGGCAATACTTCCACTTAGTAGTATGGGTTTCCAGCTCTAACCGCAGCGAAAAAGATGTGTGCTAATGTACCATTGTGTTCTTAGAGCTGATAGTAGCTCCATGGTATACATATACCACATTTTATTATCACTTCTTGATTGGATAGGGCACTTGGGCTGTTTCGACCAAGGCCTTCGGCATTATGAATTGTGCTGGCTATAAACACTTGAGTGCAGGTGTGTGTTGTTTGAGTGTGTCATTGGATTTTTGGGTAGATGCCCAGCAATGGGGATTGCTGGATCAAATGGTAGATTCACTTGTATCGCTTTAAGGTATCTCCATATTGCTTTCCACAGAACAATAATTATTTTAAAAGCCAGAGTGTTTATATTAATATCGGACACAATGGTCTTCAAAACAATATTACTGGGGATAAAGAGGGACATTACAAAATAATAAAAGGATCAATTCACCAAGGAGACAAAACACCACCCTCCTGACCCTCTGCCTCCTGCCTACCCTGGTCCTTTTCCACGTGGCCCTGTGTGGTGTCTGTCTAGTTTCTAGGGATCTTCCTTCATGATAATCATTTTCATATCTATACATCTTACCATACCTGATTAAAATGAATTCTGGGTACATTTTTGGAATACCTGAATAGTACTATATTTACTAAAGAAATTGATTCATAGATTAAGATCTTCCAGCAACAACAAGAAAAACAAACAAAAACCCTCTAGGCCAGATGACTTCACTGGGAAATTCCACAAAACATTTAAGAGAGAAATAGGACCAATTCTACACAAACTCTTCCAGAAAATAGAAGAGGGGCAGCCGGGCGTGGTGGCTCATGCCTGTAATCCTAGCACTCTGGGAGGCCGAGGCAGGCAGATTGCTCGAGATCAGGAGTTCAAAACCAGCCTGAGCAAGAGCGAGACCCCATCTCTACTATAAATAGAAAGAATTAATTGGCCAACTAATATATATATAGAAAAAAATTAGCCGG